GTTTTTAGTCCGATTGAACCGTCTATCCGATTATAAGGGTCCATGTAAATGCAGCTACTGATAACATGAAAATAATACAAGTTTGTTTCTAGAAGAAAAATGTGTCATCGTCCACCCAAAGTAAGGCAGATCAATCATATTGTTGAATATTAAATTTCCCCGACTAAGCAAGCCAAAAGCCAAGACAACAGTGGTGAGAAACCAAAACTCCATCAGGTGATTGAATGGACCCGATTTTCTGATATTTAGAAGAATATCAGTAACCAGAAACTGTCTGGTTACTGATATTATGCTAAATATCAGAAAATCGGCTGAATGGATTCAAAAACGGTTAAATTCAACTGTTTAACTCTGGGGGAGTTGTAAAATGAGCCTATTTCCATAAAAGTGGAGTATCTCTTTAAGAGCTCGCTCAAGTACTGGGGAGATAAACCATTTAGTGCTTTGTAGGTAATCAGCAATATTTAAAAGGGGTCATTGGATGCAAAATTCACTTTTACATTATATTTGCATATAAATATGTCATTGCAGTGTGTGGACCACCATGCGATGAAAAAAAATCATTCAATCCTTTTTTTTATCCTCAAAAATCCTAAACACTCAATATCCAAGCCGTTTGGATTTTCTGAGCAATATGATGGCATATTGCTCATGCTCCACCCACGACCACTGATGGACTGTCCAATATTAGCATATTTCCACCCTCAGCCATTTGTATACGGCCTGCCAAGGCAGGACTTTATGTGTCTCAATAATATCTGTCTGCAGACCACAGTTTTACCCCAGCAGGTTCACCACAGCAGTTTTGCCTGCGCATGCGCTGTCACGTTTCATTTTTAAATCTTAGCTACAGTTCTGTCCTAAAACTATCTAATGGTTTACTGCTAACCTGCTGTTATTTTTGCTCGTGCAGGCCTCCAGGCTCCTTTCCTGAAATAAAACAATGCTTGTGTCATGAACACTTTAATCCTTCACGTTTTTCCTCCAAAAATGAACAGCCTGGTATAATAAACACATTTTATTTTTCAAAGCCTGGTAGACATTCAGGGTGCTTCCACATCTTTAGTTCAGTTCATTTGGTCTGGACCAAGGGCGAAAAATTATACTTTAACATTTTTCAGGGGTTTTGGTTCGTTTTAGGAATAGTCAAATAAAGTCGTTATTTTTGTTTAGTATTTCGCACTAAAAGTATTCTCATCGCTTGATAAACTTATAGTTGAGCCACTGTAGTCACATGGAATATTTAAACATTTTCCTCAATGACTTTCCGGGCCGTCAAGTGTCAATCCATTAGGGTGCCTAACTGCCTATGTAGCAGTGATCCACCTCTCAAATTTAATCAAAAATATCTTAATTTGTTTATCTGAAGATGAACGACAGCATGGTACAGCTTGGGGGTGAGTAATTAATGACTTAATTTTAATTTTTGGGTGAACTAACCCTTTTAAGACATGTAAAACATCCATGTTTGCACATCGCCTGTTGGCTACAGTGTTCGTTTGCTAAACGTAAAAGTAAGAAACTTTTACAAGATAATTATGACGATGAGTAATATTATTTAACTGAAGTTATGATTAAATGCCTTTAATTTAAAGCATTTTGTATCCGCCGGGATGATAAAATTGACGTCATTACGTGAGGACATAAAAGAACTAGTGAATCATTTTTTGAACCGGTTCATTAAAACGAACTGTCCGAAGGAACCGGTTCACAGAAAAGAACCAGACTTCCCATCACTAGTCTTGACTCACGGAAGAGAGGGGTGGGGTGAGCAGTTGCTCATAATAATTTAAAGAGACATGCACCGAAAAAGGCCACTGTGAACAGAGCTGTTTTTGAGGAGGTAAAAAGGGTGTTGTTTTACACAACCATTAAGGAACTTTAACCAAAGTATGTTACAAACCATTCATTAAAGATATTGTAGGCTGGAATTTTATAAAAAAAAAAAAAAAAAAACTTTTTTCCAAATTTGTTTAAACTTTCTGTATATATCAATGCATAATTAAAATACAAGTACTCTGAAAAATAAAGTATAAAAATTGAGTGTCTGTAGACCTCTCACGACTGTTTTAAAGGGATACTTTTTTTTTTGGAAATACGCTCATTTTACAACTCCCCCAGAGTTAAACGGTTGAGTTTTACCTTTTTTGAAATTGGTCCTCAATAGTATCATACATTTGTAGATCACACCCACGGGTGGTTTACATGCACCTTGCAAAATCTACAAAATGTTTATTATTTAAACAAAATAAGCTAAGATGTACTGTACTGTCCTGAATAAGACATTTTACATAAAAAATGTTGAAATGAATGAATTTATAAAAAATTGCCCAATTCAAAAGTTGGTAACGCTTCCTTTTACAGTACAGTACTTACAGTGTACTTACCTAGAAAGTGCTGGCTAATAAGGTAAGTACATGGAAAAGGGGTAGGTTCATGGTTAGTACTAGTTATTACCCAGTAATTGTAGTTACTAAAATAAGTACATAGTATTTACATGGGTAACTGGACTGTAAAAGGAAGCGTTACCCAAAAGTTTACATACCCTTGATTCTTAATACTGCGTCATTACCTGGATGATCCAAAACTTTTTCATTTTGTGATGGTTGTTCTTAAGTCCCTTGTTTTCCTGAGCATTTAAACTGCCATATGTTCTTCAGAAATATCCTCTTGGTCCATCAAATTATTTACTTTTGCATATTTGAACCCTTATTCACAATGTTTGTCATACTGGTACATGATAAGACACTATTTTTCTAATAGGGACGTGGTTGGGAAAACTCAGGTTAACTTGTATTTCTCTTTTTTCCCCTCAGACCTGATGCAGCTGAAAGAAGACAATGAAGGACTGAATGAAAGGGAAGAGACGGATCAGAATGAGAAACATTGTGATTTCATAAATGGAGACAAATCTTTAAGTTGCTCAGGGATCGAAAAGGCTTACCCACGAAAAAGAGGCCAAAAGACAGAAACTAGAAGTAATGTCAAATGCCAACAGTGTGGAAAGAGTTTTGTTAAACATGGATACATCAACATTCACGTGAGGATTCACACTGGAGAGAAGCCTTAAACCTGCCAAGAGTGTGGAAAGAGTTTCTATCGGAAATACAGCCTTAAAGTCCACATGAGAATTCACACTAGAGAGAAGCCTTATACCTGCAAGATGTGTGAAAAGTGTTTTACACATAAACAAAGCCTTGATTTCCACATGAAAACTCACACTGGAGAGAAGCCGTACACCTGCAAACTATGTGAGAAGAGCTTCTCACGAAAAGATAGTCTTGAGAATCACCTGAGAATTCACACTGGAGAAAAGCCGTTTGTATGTGGTCAGTGTGGAAAAGGTTTCAAACGTAAAGAAACATTTAATTCACACATAAGAACTCACACTGGAGAAAAGCCTTACATCTGCAAACTGTGTCCAAAGAGCTTCTCACAACAAGGAAACCTTATGACCCACATGAGAAGTCACACTGGAGAGTAGCCTTTCATATGTGGTCAATGTGGGAAAAGTTTCATTATTAAAGTAAACCTTAATACGCACATGAGGATTCACTCGAGAAAAACTGTTTAAATGTCACTAGTGTGGAATGAGTTTCATAAAAGAAAACCTTTCAAAATATGTATCTGTGAAATCTGTGTATCAATGTTCACACTGCAACTGAATGTGTGCCAAAACTGCTCGTCCACCTACTTGAAAACTCATTTTATTTGCAGCTATAGAGTGCCGAAGTTACGACGTCACTCTGTTGGCCAAAACGCGGAAGTGAGCTAGTATTTTACCACTACCGGGGTGCTTCTCAATAGACCATTTCACAAGATGTAAACAACACTGGTCCAGAAGCACTTCCTGTTTCAGTTTTTTAACACTACATAAAAGCTGGGATAAAATACAACCAACAGAACATTTAAAACTGAATCAAAACGTTAAACAAACATCTTTAAGATGTTTTCTTTACATGTGAAATAAAGAAAACAGTTACAAACTGAAACAGGAAGTGCTTCTGGACCAGTGTTGTTTACATCTTGTGAAATGGTCTATATCCCTCCTCGTCTCCTCGCTCCTCCGTCCTCCCTCCTATGACCCGGAAACCGATCGAGCTCAGCCATCTTGAAGGACATCTCAATTCTCGAATTGCACCGTGAGGAGTCGAGGATCGAGGAGATAGGAGGCTTCCTGAGGAGTCATAAGCGAGGATACACAGGTGCATCCTACGCGGAACTGTTATTTTGACTAAACGTGACGCACGTGCAAATTCTCCTCCCCCCTTCACATCGGTCACAATCATTTAAATTTATACTTTACCTTTGCAGTTTATATAAACCACACATCTCAGATATTTCAACAGTATAGCCTATCTTTATTATTATTTATTATGAATTTATTAAATAACCAAACTTCAACATCATAAGGGCAGATCCTTTTAGCGCTGCTGATGACACTGTGGAGTGACGCTCGAGTGATCAAGTATTCCAATGTATATTAAAAAGCTTTTATTAGATTCCTCTGTCCTTCTTTCCTTTCCTCGCTTCCTTCCCTACAGGGGGTGGAGCAGAGACGCAAGGAAAGGAATAAGGAAAGGAAACGAGGATGCACAAATAAGAAATGAGAAGCACCCCCGGTTCCCTCGCTCTAAAGTCTATGGGATTTTTGAATGGGTTTTTGCTAAATCGCCTGAAATAAAGTCTGTGGTGAATAAAGCCTCTAAATATTTTCACGTTATAGGCTTCAAAATGTATACATTTTGGATTAACTTGTAAAGATTATCTTGATAGACAAAACGTGTATTTATGCGGGTGTGTGCACAACGTTATTATTGAAAATGGAGACGGGGAAATACCCGTTTCTCTAAATACCCGGCTTTATGGCTACGTGTATTAAAGCAGAGTGCTCAGGGTAATATTTTATATCCGGTCAAATCATACATTAATCATTGCCATTGTATTTGTATTTTTCAAAGTTGTCAGGGAAAAAGCAAAAAGATATTTGTGTACTCACACACACACCGCACCACACAAACACCTTACTATTCTAATGTTTGTCCCACCACACAAATCAAATCATTTCGATTCGGCGGAGCACTCCACCTGCTTAGAAGCTTCGTTTAGCCGTAGTCACGTGACGTGGGTGTTTTGAATCACGCTTCGGATCAGTGTTTCGAATCATCTGCGCTTCGGGATCTCGCAAAGATTCGGAACGTCTGTTTCGCGTCAGCCATCCCTACCCGCCATTAAACGTATTAACAAAGAAGAAGAAAAGAACAGAGTGGGCTGTGAGCAGCGCGTTTTCCCAAGGTGGTTTTGGAAGATGTTCATGCGGACGCTGTGTCGATTCAAGGCCTCAAAAAGCCTATGATATAGCCAAATAGTGAGAAATATGCACGGTTAGTTGTTTGTGAAGTTCTCCTCAGTGTTTGCTTGGGCTGTGTATTGTGTTGATTGGTGTTGATTTCTGTTGAGAAGCATCTCTGTGTGTGGAAGTCTCAACAACACAATTCTCTCGAAGCGTAAGTGATAAACTATCATCATTACCAGCGGAACGTTAGGATTATTTTGTGTATGTGAATCAGTGTTTTTGATCTGTGGTAATTTTGTCTAATTAATTACAGGGGATAAAGACGGCTCTGCGTGTGTTTCTGGGGCGAGAGCGAAACATCAGAGGGGAAATCGAGTGAAAACGTACAGGTTATTGAGTGGTGATGAAAAGTATGTTTGAATTTCATTCATTTAATTTCTGAAGTTGTACAAGTGTTTATGTGCTGATGTAAGACATAAGTGTGTATGTGCTGATGCTCATGTTTGAAGGGGTTTGCACATACTAAAAAATGTAACTTCTTTAATTTCATTGTCCTGTATTTTCGCATGTAACAAGCTGTTTTTTGGGGTATTCTGTGCTGACAAATGTTATAATTATTTGTGTATTTGTTTCTAGAATGAGAGGCTGCAACTGTCTATTAGCTAGCCTAGTTTTTGTGATTGATTCATTTAATGTTGTGACTGAGAACAAGAGAGATAGACTCATTTTGATGTGAGAAGAAGATTTTATTGATTTAAATCATTTAACAAGCCTTTCTACTCTAAGTTCCCGAAATTTTGCTTAATCAACGCTGTGCTGTTCCAAGTGCTGTCTGGAATAAAATACCCCTTTATACTTTTCATTCTGTGTCTGGTGTTGTCACTATCTCACACACCGAGCTACATCTTTAATGGTCTGTCTCATTACTGTAATCGGTGTCGTTGTTGATGGTGATCAATAGCTGAGTTTGGTGTGAATGAATGGATGAAGGTGTGACTCTTCCTGATGTCTATGATAATCACTGCTATAGTGATTGGATTAGAGCTTGTGAAAGTGCCTGTAACTGCTTACATCCTTTACATGCTTTGTTTGCTTTATCTTCTGTAAGGACGGCCCCCTGAAATCTGTATAAAATCACAAATGTTGCAACGCTTTGGTCACTCTTGAAGACTGCAGCGCTACTGGTGAAGCAACTGAGATCCACGTGACACTGTTATAAAGATGTTTATTAAAGAGGAGAGTGAAACCATGAAGATTGAAGAAACATTCAGTGTGAAAGATGAAGATGTGAACATTGAAGAAACATTCAGAGAGCAACATGAAGACGTGAATATTGAAGAAACATTCAGAGTGAAACATGAAGACACTGAGGAACGAACAGGTTAGATTCATTCTCAAAGCTGAACTCAGTCATTTGATCCTCATTAAAATGTCCAGCTCTACAGAAATGAATGATATTTTTGACAAATATAATACGAGTGTTTTAATTAAAGTGCATTTATTTATTTGGGTCGCCTCATGTGGACAGACATGTTGAGATCACATGATCAATACTAATGTTGCCTTTAACCTGAGAAAATCCCACTTCCAAGTTGGACATTTGATATTACGACACATTAAGAAAAAAAATACAGATGTAGCCCAAACAAAATTTTATCTGCAACAATAAACCCAAATCAACATCCAAGTGAAAAGAAATGATAACCGCTGCTTAGAGCAACAGTATCTAAGAAACACATTAATTTGGCATAAACCGTGAAATTTGAGTGATCAATGTTACAGTTGTTGCTAAGCTCTTTTGTATAAATCCTCTTAAAGGGATACTCCACCCAAAAATGAAAATTCTGTCATCATTTACTCACCCTCAAGTTGTTGCAAACCTTTATGAGTGTCTTTCTTCTGCTGAACACAAAGCAATATATTTTGAAGAACGATTGGAACAAAATAGTTGACTTCCATAGTATTTTTATTCTATTGACGTCAATGGTGTTGAAGTTCAGGTTTATGACTGCACACGGTAATTTGCAGGTAACACCGAAAACTGACGTGAATTGTTGCAAATTGACGTGGGGTTTGGTTGGCATTTGTCCCCCCATGACCCCCTGCCCCTAATTCTAGGAGAGCGTTTAACATGTGAATGAAAATGCTGTGAGTTTACACATGCTAATGTGGGTAAAATATACTAAGGAAGTCAATGAGACCAGAAACTGTCTGGTTACTGATATTCTTCTAAATATCAAAAAATCGTCTGAATGGATTCGAAAATGGTAAAACCCAACTGTTTAACTATGGGGGAGTGGTAAAATGAGCCTATTTCCAAAAAAAAGAGTATCCCTTTAAATGCACAGTGGATGTGTTAACCACACACAACAGGCAGAAATGATGCTGGGTATGACGCGTCTGTTTCCTGCAAGCTCCAAACTTTTATTGGCTTTCCATAAAAATATCTGTCCGGGTGGGGATGAAGCCATGAAACTTGTGCAATAACATATTTGAATGCAGAATCTTTTGACACAACATTAACAACTATAAACTGCTTTATAATGGCTGGTCGGAGTTAGAGTTAGGGTTAAGGATGAGGTTAAGGATATCATAGGCATGCGAGCTTGTCTCGTGAGTTCTTCCGTATAACAATGACCTCACATGTGATTGGAGGAGCCCGACGAGCCTTCTAGACCTTATCCAATCAGGTGCGATGTCATGATGACTCATGATGATTTTTTTACTCCTTTACTCTGACCTTTTCCTATATTTCCTGTGTTTTTGCTGCGATCTACAGTTGCTGGACGAGGTCTCCCCTTCAACTCCCCTTCAACTCCTCTTCATAGACGCGATCAACCCCTTTCAGACGGTCCGCAGACCACCGAGAAGAAACTGTTAAATGCTATCAGTGGGCTGTCTCATCAGCTTACGCAGCTTGGTGCTGTTGTAAATGAGCAGTTCACTTTAGTAAATTCCAGGTTGCTGTCCATAGAGGATAGGTTGGCTGCTTTGGAGTCGAAAAACTGTGTGGAAGAGACTAGCTCTAGGAAGAGAAGACGGGTGCACAATCCAAAGATTGCGGTAAGAAGCTAAAGCAGCCAAGAAGCAAAGCTTTTATTTAATTAGCACAAGCTAAAAGTAACTTATCCTTGTAAAAGAACAAGTGTAAGTTGCTTTATAAAAGTGTATTTTTTGGTCTTGTAATTTACAGGAAGCGGTACGCCGTTTTCACAACTCTGAGACAAACAGTAGGCGCTACAAACCGGAGCAAGGGTAAGATTGAAAAGTATACTTTCATTCTCCTGAATAAGGAAATAGATCCATAAATTGGTACCGATCTTAACCGTACATTTTGTTTTCTCAGACTAGCCTCGCCTCATAACGAGGCTGTGACCTCATATTTGCTCGGAGCTATGTCTGCAAGTCCAGATTTACATGGTGTTGATAATGACAACATTGTGTGTAAGTGACTTTTACCATTTTCTCCTTTATTGTTTAATTTTACTATGACTTACATTGTTTCTTATTCATATCGCTCTCGTTTAATCGTTTTCCAGCTGCCTGTAAAACATATTACGAGACCGTGCGCAGGAACTTCAGGTACAAACAACCGGATCTTGCATCGCAGGCAGAAGCTGTGAAGAGTTCAGCTCGGAGTCGAGCGAGAAGAAAGAGGGTAAGATTTATTTGATTAGATATGTTTTGGTCAATGTGACTATTTTGCAGGTGCATTAATAGATGTGTTGTGTCCAAACGCAGTGCATCGCGCAGTACTGATTGTCTTTATTGTTTGTTTTCACAGTTGCTAGAAGCGAGACAGAGTGTGCTAGCTGAGGATGAGGTGGACCTTTGGAAGAGCGCTACCATAGACCTGATGTCTGATGAGGAAGACGGCATCGTTGACGGGGTGTCTGGATGGATTGTGCGACCTCCGTCTTTTCGCAGCCAGGAGCTCACAGAGCTCTGTGCCACACTGCAGTCGAGATTAGAGGCGATGCCGAAGTACAGGGCAACGCACCACAGACGTCTGCAAACTGGACCAAATTCGGACAGAATGCCGCTAGTTACCTGCAGCTCCGAAGCTGAAAACAGAAACTTCATGGTGCTGTAGGATTTTGGGCTTCTCGTGAGCTTCAAATTTGTTGCGTGGGCAGATCTCATATGTTTGTATATAGTTTGTGTGTCTGTGCTAATAAAGCTCTTTCTTTGAATAAACAGCATGTCCCTGGCAAAATTTATTTTTCTCAAATTCATTCATGTTCTTGGTGGAAATAATAATGTAATGAATATATTTCTGAACATTGACTCTCAGTCTTTATTTACATGTTTTTCATGTTTTCTTAATATAATTCATAAAACTGTAGAATAGCATATTTCTAATTGGGGCACATTGTAATGCAGTGTTACAACATGCACCACGACGTGCAAAATTGGGGTTTAAACCCTGCTAGTGTCTTCTGCTAGTTAGCAAAGCATTAAAGAACTATATCAACTGTTAAACAACAAATTGGATATTCAAATAATATCAGATTTGTCTCATTTTAAATAAACAAAAAAAATAGAGCTGAAAAATTAAAGGGTTAGTTCACCCAAAAATGAAAATTCTGTCAGTATTTACTCACCCTCATGTTGTTCCAACCCCGTAAGACCTTCGTTCATCTTCGGAACACAAATTAAGATATTTAGGATATTAAAATCGCTCCTGCATACAGTCCATAGGCTTCTTGAGGGACTGGCTCTTGCCGTCCCCGAAAAGTCATAAAAGACATCGTTAAAATAGTCCAAGTGACTACAGGGGCTCAATCTTAAGTTTATCAAACGACGAGAACACTTTTGTGCGCAAAAAAACAACAAAAATAACGACTTTATTTCAACTATTTACTTCCTTCTCCATAAGCCTATAGTCCGTTAACGTAGTGTGATTGCGTAGAGCTACGTCACACGTAGGCTCAATATTGGTCGACGCTGGTCATGTGTGTGTGATGCGTGTGACGTACAATAACAGAAGCTTACGCTATTAAACTAGTTAGCTGACTCGCGCAGAGGGAGAAATAAACGAATAGTTGAAATAAAGTCGTTATTTTTGTTGTTTTTTTTGCGCACAAAAGTGTTCTCGTCGTTTGATAAACTTAAGATTGAGCCCCTGTAGTCACTTGGACTATTTTAACGATGTCTTTTATGACTTTTCGGGGACGGCAAGAGCCAGTCCCTCAAGAAGCCTATGGACTGTATGCAGGAGCGATTTTAATATCTTAAATATCTTAATTCGTGTTCCGAAGATGAACGAAGGTCTTACGGGGTTTGAACAACATGAGGGTGAGTAAATACTGACAGAATTTTCATTTTTGGGTGAACTAACCCTTTAACTTCAGTGGGAAATTTACTTTTGCTATGGTTAAATGTTCAGTGATATCTTACAAAGATCTTTGAATTTGGGCACAAATTTTTCTCTGTATAGTGTTGAAATGGCAACTAGTAAATACACCAAGTTTCGTCATGCTGGCATGTGTGGAAGTATTTAAAACAAGTGTGTTACAACTAGCCCTGCGTTACGTTACCCCGCGATCCCCTACAGTCAGGGTTAGGAAGGTTATTTTGGAAATGTAATTGCTCACTGTTATAACTTACCCATTATAAATGTGGTTTAGATTAATTAATTTGGATTACTTTATCAAGGTAAAGCAATTTCCTTTTATTTTGAAAAATTTTCCCCTAAAAATTTACTAATTAAGAAAATAATTAGTTTTAAGTAATTCTGGGAAATGGTGTTACAAACACAATAAATCAAGCTTATTATTTGTTCAGTGACTAGAGCTTTTGAAATTAATTTCTGGGGAAATCATAAAACATGTGGTGTTCAAACTAATACAATGTATATAATATGTAATTCAATCACATGACATACTGTAAAGCTACATTGTTAAACACTTCACTTAAAATATTTATATGAATTTCTTAGAATTTTTATTGAATTGCAATTCTGCTTCCTTTAATTCAAATTCGAATTGTAATTCTAGATCCTGTTTTTGACATCAATTCAAATTCAAGAATTGAATTGGAATTTAGTAGTCATTCTCAATTCAATTCTGAATTGTGCACAAGCCTGGTATACAGAATAATACACAGTTAATATGTCTCCAACAAAGCATGGCAGAGCTGCAAAAACCAATGGCACTGATGAAAAAAATTAAAACGTTCCTTCATAATAATTTAGAAAAGTCAATATAAATATATTATTAAGTAAATATAAATAAATATTTCAAATAAAATTTGCGTTCATGCGGTCCCTATTTTGCAAAATTCACTTTTACATGGTGTTTGAACATAAATGTGTCGGCAGTGTGTGAGCAAAACCACTGTAGAATGATAAAAATCCACCTAGTGTTTTTTTCAATAAATCAATCTCAATAAATCATGTGCACTGTCTCAGAACGAGCTGTTCTAAGATTCAGCACTTTGTGATGTAGAATTGAGCAAGGGATTTGATTGACAGTGTGGTTGTGGCATAGACCCCGCCCTCTGTGATCTGTACAGCATCCTCCATTGTTTCAACGACAGCCGGTAATGTCTCAAAGAATTATAAGTGTTCTGCTGTGGGATGGGATGTTATAATGACATAAATACAGGGGTTGGACAATGAAACTGAAACACTGGCCAATGTTGGAGGTTTCACATCTATATGCCTGGCGGCCAATCTTCAGAGTGAAGCACGGGTGGATCAGTGATGGTTTGAGCTCCAATATCATGACAATCCTGATTGTATTTGATGGACACGACACTGCCGAGGACTACCAAACCCTTCTGGAGGATCATGAGCACCTGATGCTCATGATCATGCACCAACACACACAGCAAGACTTGTGACAGAAGGGTTTGATGAAGATGAAAGTGACGTTGAACATCTCCCATGGTCTGACAGTCACCAGATCTGAATATTATTGAGGTGTTTTGGAGGAGCGAGTCCACCAGCATCATATAGTGACCTGGACACTGTTCTGGAAGAGGAACGGCTCATAATCCCTCTGGTCATTGTGAAGGACTTCTATCTGTCAATTGGTGCTGTATTTGGATGCAAAATGAGGCCCTCACCATTCTAACAAATTATTGTGTAGTAAAACCAGGTGTTTCAGTTTTTTTGTCCAACCCCTGTAGTAGTTTTCACTTAATTCCGACATCAGAGCCACTGAAAACACAGTGGATGTTTTGTATTTTGGAAGTTTAAGTGGCACCTTTCCTTCGTAAATAAGTTTATGTTTGAGCGAATCATTTTCTGACTGACTGTTTTGTGAACGAGGGTCAATTCAAAGCAGGTCTTGCTTCAAAGTTAATCCTCAACTGTGGATCGTCGTCTACTGTTTGTGATCCACCGTCACCTCCAGTAAGTGTATTTTATGATTTCAAATGCGTCTAAAGTTGTTGTCGTCGTCGACGTAGGATGTCTGTGTATATAATTTAAACATTGTTTGTATAGTGTGTAACCACATGTTTATAAATATATAAACTTTTCAAGATATTGTATTAAAAACTGCATAACGTTAAATGTTTTTGTTCTGTCGCCATCTTCTCACATTTGCCACAGAAGCACCTGAATGACAAGTAATGTAAACATGACGCAACAGGTCCCTCACATAAATGTAATTTCGCTTGTACGTAGCAAACTTTATCACAGAATGTGTATGTAGTTTAAAAAAATTGTGCCAACATTAGTATGCGTCTGTGTTTTGCACTTCCATAATTGCAAAAGGAGGACGCGATTACAACTCTATAAGTACATAAATGTATCAAATAACCATACCGAGACGTACTGGTCCATTCTCATTCTTCCGAAGTCTCTTCGTCATCTGGGTCTGATCAGAGACTATTTATAGATTTCGATTAAAACATGTAGCCTACGGCTGAATGACATCCAAAACAGCGGGTCTCTCATTCTCATCCATTCTGCTTAGACCGACTGCCATAGGTATGCAAGTGACGTCCTCATCCAAAGGCAGGGCGGAGATATGCAGTTCATTTACATTTAAGGTCGTATACACCAAAACAGGCCTCAAAAATGACATTTTAAAATGGTTATAATGAATTAACTGTGGGGTATTTTGTGCTGAAACTTCACAAATACATTCTGGGGACACCCGAGACCAATATTACATCTTGTAAAAAGGGGTATAATAGGTTCCCTTTAAATTTTAATTGTTTTTCAAACGCGATCTACTGCAGCTCTACGTTAAAACACTTGTTTTTCAGTCTTTTTATATTTATTTTATCAATTTATCCTTATCTTTTCATTTTAAATAGGCCTAAAAATTAAATTAATTACATATTTGAGATCTTTTTAGTTTATATCTTCACATCTGAACAACATGGCTGTGTACATTTATTTTAACAAAAATTGTGTTAACATAATATGTTGGATATATATATATATGGTTGTCAACTTGCCATCACCAATTATCATTAAAAACAATGCAAATATTGATATTCGTAAAATGCAATGTGTGGCTTTTGCACTTTTTGAAGTACACTTTTACACATAAATACCCTTGTGGCAAGCAGGACGAGGCCAAGGAACATGAGAGAGCGCCGCAAGGCCGGTGGCGTGAGTGATAATGAACGACACCCGTGAGACACACCTTGCATCTCATGTTCCTCGGCCTTGTCCTGCACGCCACAAACCTGATTTAGGGTTTTATTTAGTTATAATAAACAAAAAGGCAAATTTTATTGATTGATCGAAAAAATAATCATCCGATTAATCGATTATCGAAATAGTCGTTAGTTGCAGTCCTATTGCCAAGACTACATTACATTGCATATAGCTTCTGTTAAGATAGGGGGCTTGGAGCATCATATCTGACTATATGCTGAAGATGTTCTCCTATTCCTAATAAAGAAATATTGTCAAAATGGTTTGTAATAAGTGAAGCTGGTAATGCTGTTTTTGGATTGAATTGTTTAGTCATTCTCTACTGAGATCTTGAGAGATGTAATGTGTTATTTTATTTGCAGTCGATTTCATCTAAGGCTGTGTAGCTATAAATATTTTCTGTTCTTGAAAAAGCGAACTTGTAAAACGTCATCAATCGCGGCCCAAGTACTGTCCCAATACACAAGTTTGCATTTAGGCAAGAATGGTTAAAAATCCCGGATATGTTCTTAACACTCCCATTTTACGGAGGATGCATCGGTTGGTAACTTGTGTGAACTTGACAGCAGAAATATCCCATAATTCATTTCAGCATTCGCAGAAGGAGCGGGAAGCAGAGAGAGGCAGGTCAAAAGTTACCTGAATATTACTGAATATTACCAGCGTTTTTTACCGCTGTTGGCTAGTGATGTACACAAACAAACAACAGAAGCAGAATTAAAATGAGACAGGTGTTGCTTCATTGTTATGAATATACATTACATTGTAGTGTATGTAGAGTAATACCTTAGGCTTGGGCGATAAAGCGTGGCTTTATAATAATTCTCGTTATGTTTGGCCACAGCAGACGGCGTCTGTGCGGGGGTACTATTGCGCAATACCAGCAAGAACACATCGTCTCAAACTGTCAGCAGCGTTCTGTGTGCTTGTCACCTCGTGAGTTCCTTCTTCCAAGAACAACTAGCAAGAGCTTTCTTCCCAAGAACACAAGTCCATTCTTTGCATTCTTGGTTTTGAGAAACGGCCTCAGTCCGTCTTACTTCCGGAAGCGTGTTCTGCAGGCAAAGTGTATAGCGGCAAAACTTTAATAAAATCCATTTTCTCAGAAACGGAGACAACGATTTTAGAAACACTTATTCGCTAGTCGAATTTCGTATGATATGAGAGAATACTAACCCTCAAAGTTGTTGATGTAGCTCGAAATATATAATTTAAATAATTTCTCTTTTTTACTCTTGTGTGACAACTAACTGCCTCACAGTGTTGTTAACATCATTCACGTTAACTACAGGACGTTTTTATAAACCTGCTTCTGACGCAGCACCGGATGCAACTGGGCGTGCTGAGACAAACCCGTAAGCGATCTTGCATAGAGGCTATTGTTTCTGCATGATCACAATAATTACATTTACCCGTTTTGTTTTCCTATTTTGAACAAAGAAGGATTTAGCCTATTCGAATGCAAGAAATAAATATAGTTCTTTTCTATTCCTTAAAACTTTTCTTCCATTTTCTACTTCTTTCTGTATAATATACATGTTTTCCCTTGTTATCACTGTTCTATACTTTTTCAATTTGTTGTTTATCAATTCTTTAATTCGACGAACCTTAAGTCCTAGAAACTTGAAACTTTGTGGGCTGGTAGTACTCATATCCGCCGACAGCGTCACAAAGGCACGCCCCGATCGGCCTGACGGGGGCGCTACAGCGGGCAAAAGTACGAAATGGCTCATAACTCCTCAATCGGGCGTAGGCTCAAGTGTTTTACATCGTTGGAATCCTTGGCTCCAGCCAGACAAGATGCATGCCTCGGATTGGCTCGCCATTTCAAGTAAATTGCGTTTTTTTGAAAAACATACTTTTGAGAATTACTTGCAGAAATGTTCTTTCTGCCAGACTGATCTCATGAAGTAGCGTGTGTATGACACGCCAATTCGTATTTCCATTTTTGGCGTGCTATCAAGACGCATAATCGCCTTTCAGCGTGTTTATGAACGCCGTTGACTTAACGTTATATAAATATATGACTTACCTCAACACCATCCCTAAACCTAACCGTCACTGGGGTTAATGGCATTTATGACTGGAGATTTGACTGCGTGTTCAGACACGCGGAATGACGCAGACGTTAATGGTGTAGACATATACGCATACACGCGGATAGCACAAAATGCGTGGAGATAACACACCACCTGACTCGAAAGTGGCGTACATGTTTACGCAAAAGTCATGATGTCATGTTGTTTCTGCAGAGAAAGAGTTGTAAAAAGTTAAGAAAAAAAAAGAATTAAAGTTTTCTACAAGGAAACGTGATTCATCCTATCACTGATTGTGCTGCAGTGACTGACTGAGAGCCAACATTAGCAGCATATTCATTAGACCCGCCCACAGTTTGCGCCGGCGCTGCAGTCAGTCAGCATGAACAGATGAGGGAATCAGATGAGAACAGGTCAGACGAGGCTGAGCACACGGAACGTTTCTCCAGAAACTCCTTTCACTAAATCATTATCGAACGTGAACTGTGATTGAGTGTACTTGGAAACTTTGGATGCGTCAGGCTGGTGTGTCATCAGAGAGAGAAAATTTCAGAAATTATTATAACCTACTTAAAGGTTGTTGGCCAACAACTGGTGTCTCTGGTTTTAAAGTTGGAACTGCTTCATGTTTTAGTAACAGTTTCTTGTTGAATCCGGCATTGAATTCTTTGAGATTCTGGAAGCTGTCTTCCGTAAAATGCGCAGCACAGAGAGCTAAATTACGATCGTCATTTTCAGGAACATAATCAAACATAAATTGTATCCATTGTTGACGAACTACAGCGTCCGTGGGAAGCTCGAACTCAGAAGACATGACAGCTGGATGAACACAACACACTCGACGAACCACAAAAATATGGCCATGCCCTTTTTGCATTTTCCGGAGGGAGGGTTGATGTAAATGTGTGGGTTAGAGATGTCTAAAACCCTGTTGTAGTCCCAATCGAGTCCTTTTTGTAGGCAGTAAACTTCCTGATTTTTAAAAGATGATATCTCTGCTTACATTGAAATTTCAGCGCTGCAACTTTGCAGATACTGTACATGCACCAACAGCAACATTACAAACTATTTAAAATGAAAAAAAAGTGAAATCGCAATCAACCCCCCTTTAAAAATAGCATCATAAAGTATCACAAATAATTTTTTGTACTTTGAGCAAAGATGGAGATGTACTTGACTCTTCTCATGATTATATAAAACAAAAACAGCTCCTTGCTCCTTGAAAAAAAATTTAATGTAATATTGTAATAGTTTTAAACCACAGTTTATTTTTCATTTCAGATTAACATTTGAGGGTTGCAATTTTATTCATAATTTCGAAAGCATTGTAGCCTAACTTACTATTCCTGCCAAACTTCCATGGTTACAGATTGTGTTGCTGATCTGTGGACACTGGATAGTTCATTCAAGGCACAATGTTTCTTCCTGGTTTCCACATCAGTGCTGTTTTGATGCATTAATAACGGAGACTGTGAATGCTTCTCACCACATTCTTCACTGCATTTTTTCATAGGTGCATGTTTGTCCACTAAAGGATACAATAAACTTCCAAATGCTGACAAGATGAAGATGAACTTCCTTATAAATATCAATCCAACCTATATTATTTACATTTGTACAAAAGGATTCTTTACTGAATCTCTTATATGATGTTTTATAAATTACCTTTGGTTTCCTCCATTTTCTAAGTGTTTACATTCTTGAAAAATAAAACTTACTGTCTTTAAATTCGTTTGTGCCTAAGGGGCTTAAATGCTTGAACCCCGATAAATGCTGCTTGCAGCTTTAATTCTGTCTGGTTACTACTGTTTATGTCAGAACCGGTTCCCTATTGACACGAGTTTCGGTACCCAACCCTACTCCAGTGTGAGTTTTCATGTGGTATATCAGGCTTGCTTTATGAGCAAAACTCTTTCCACAATGAGGGCAGGTGTGAGGCTTCAGTCCAGTGTGAGTTTTCATGTGGTATATCAGGCTTGCTTTATAAGCAAAACTCTTTCCACAATGAGGGCAGGTGTGAGGCTTCTCTCCAGTATGAATTGTCATGTGGCCTTTAAACCATCTTTTCTCAGTGAAACTCTTTCCACACTGAGGGCAGGTGTAGGGCTTCTCTCCAGTGTGAATTGTCATGTGGTATTTCAGGCTTGCTTTTTGACCAAAACTCTTTCCACACTGAGGGCAGGAGTGAGGCTTCTCTCCAGTATGAATTGTCATGTGGCCTTTAAACCGTCTTTTCTCAGCGAAACTCTTTCCACACTGAGGGCAGGTGTAGGGCTTCTCTCCAGTGTGAGTTTTCTTGTGGTATTCAAAGCCTCTTTTATCAACGAAACTCTTTCCACACTGAGGGCAAGTGTAGGGCTTCTCTCCAGTGTGAATTGACATGTGGTATTTCAGGCTTGCTTTTTGACCAAAACTCTTTCCACACTGAGGGCAGGTGTGAGGCTTCTCTCCAGTATGAATTGTCATGTGGCCTTTAAACCGTCTTTTCTCAGCGAAACTCTTTCCACACTGAGGGCAAGTGTAGGGCTTCTCTCCAGTGTGAGTTTTCATGTGTTTATTAAGGCTATCTTTTAGAGTGAAACTCTTTCCACACTGAGGGCAGGTGTGAGGCTTCTCTCCAGTGTGAGTTTTCATGTGGTATTCAAAGCCTCTTTTATCAGCGAAACTCTTTCCACACTGAGGGCAGGTGTGAGGCTTCTCTTCAGTGTGAATTCTCATGTGGCGTTTAAGGGTTTCTTTTCGAATGAAACTCTTTCCACACTGAGGGCAGGTGTAGGGCTTCTCTCCAGTGTGAGTTTTCATGTGTTTATTAAGGCTATCTTTTAGAGTGAAACTCTTTCCACACTGAGGGCAGGTGTAAGGCTTCTCTCCAGTGTGAATTGTCATGTGGTATTTCAGGCTTGCTTTTTGACCAAAACTCTTTCCACACTGAGGGCAGGTGTGAGGCTTCTCTCCAGTATGAATTGTCATGTGGCCTTTAAACCGTCTTTTCTCAGCGAAACTCTTTCCACACTGAGGGCAGGTGTAGGGCTTCTCTCCAGTGTGAGTTTTCATGTGGTATTTAAAGCCTCTTATATCAGCAAAACTCTTTCCACACTGAGGGCAGGTGTGAGGCTTCTCTACAGTGTGAATTCTCATGTGGAGTTTAAGGCTTTCTTTATGAATGAAACTCTTTCCACACTGAGGGCAGGTGTAGGGCTTCTCTCCAGTGTGAGTTTTCATGTGGTATTTAAAGCCTCTTATATCAGCAAAACTCTTTCCACACTGAGGGCAGGTGTAGGGCTTCTCTCCAGTGTGAGTTTTCATGTGGTATTTAAAGCCTCTTATATCAGCAAAACTCTTTCCACACTGAGGGCAGGTGTGAGGCTTCTCTACAGTGTGAATTCTCATGTGGAGTTTAAGGCTTTCTTTATGAATGAAACTCTTTCCACACTGAGGGCAGGTGTAGGGCTTCTCTCCAGTGTGATTTTTCATGTGGTATTTCAGGCTCGCTTTATGAGCAAAACTCTTTCCACACTGAGGGCAGGTGTGAGGCTTCTCTCCAGTGTGAATTCTCATGTGGCGTTTAAGGGTTTCTTTCCGAATGAAACTCTTTCCACACTGAGGGCAGGTGTAGGGCTTCTCTCCAGTGTGAGTTTTCATGTGGTATTCAAAGCCTCTTTTATCAGCGAAACTCTTTCCACACTGAGGGCAGGTGTAGGGCTTCTCTCCAGTGTGAGTTTTCATGTGGTATTCAAAGCCTCTTTTATCAGCGAAACTCTTTCCACACTGAGGGCAGGTGTAGGGCTTCTCTCCAGTGTGAATTCTCATGTGGCGTTTAAGGCTTTCTTTTCGAATGAAACTCTTTCCACACTGAGGGCAGGTGTGAGGCTTTTCTCCAGTTGCAAAATCATGATGATTGCCATAAAGATTTCGTATTTCATCCGGTTCTTGGCTCTCTGCTTTCAGTGCCATCAGATCTATGGTGAAAAGTGACAAATACAATTTAAACCCAGTTTAATGACACAAAGCAACAGACATGAAAAAAATAGATATTTTCTAGCATCTAAAACAACAAAACAAAACAAAAAACTTTCAAATTGGCCTAAAATAGCATCCTTTTATTCATGTTCAGTTTTGCAGAGCAGGCTAACTGTTGTCTTTGTTGTTGTTTTTTTCAGTTTCTATTCTCATTAGATCTTGCGGCAACATCGATGACAACATTCTCTGGGATAACTTAAGAAATATGTTTGCATTTGTGGACAAACATAATGATATTTAAAGTCCTATTTATCTGACTGTTACCACTTGTATTCAAATAAATAAAACAATGGCTAAATAATGCAAACAGATCATTGAACATTACTTGCATATAAAAATAACAGACTGATCTCATGAAATGGCGTATGTATGACACGGCAATTTATATTTCCATTTTTTTCTATGCGTGCTATCAACACGCATAATCGCTTTTCAGCGTGTTTATCAACGCTGTTGAGTAGGGCTGTCACTTTTTATTCGATATTCGAATATGCATTCGAATATGACGTGAAATATCCGTATTCGATCTATAAATAAACTATTCGGTTTTAAAAGTGCCATGTTTAGCTTATTTTTGCAGTCTATGATTAGACCGTTTGTTTTTTTTATTTTATTGTTTGCCATCTCATCCAAGAGCGGACGCTCTAAAGGGGGTCGCACACCGGACGAGAAGCTCAGCATCGCGTCGCGCAGTGCCACGTCTTTAAAATTCGAACACATTATTCTCTATGAGTGCCAGCAGCCATATCACCCTGTAGCCCAAGACTGGTTGCCCACTGAAGCTTAGCAGGGCTGAGCCTGGTTAGTTCCTGGATGGGAGACCTTCTGAGAAAGCCAAGTTGCTGCTGGAAGAAGTATTAGTGAGGCCAGCAGGGGGTGCTCACCCTGTGGTCTGTGTGGGTCCTAATGCCCCAGTATAATAATGGGGATACTATACTGTCAAAGAGCACTGTCCTTCAGATGAGACGTTAAACCGAGGTCCTGACTCTCTGTGGTCATTAAAAATCCCAGGATGTCTTTCGAAAGAGTAGGGGTGTAACCCCGGCATCCTTGCCAAATTTGCCCAGTGGCCTCTGTCCATCATGGCCTCCTAATCATCCCCATATATACCAATTGGCTTCATCACTGTCTCCTCTCCACCAGTAAGCTGGTGTGTGGTGAGCATTCTGGCACACTATGGCTGCCGTCGCATCATCCAGGTGGATGCTGCACACTGGTGGAGGTTGAGAAGATTCCCCTCTCTATGTAAAGCGCTTTGTGTGCCGAGAAAAGCGCTATATAGTTTACAAACACAAGCGATCTCCAAGGAAGAGAGGCAAACGAGCGGGAGTTTTGGTTCGACTAAGACAGAGGGTTCACCGCTCTCCGCTTCCCAGCATGATCCTGTCGAATGTCCGCTCCCTGACTAACAAGCAGGATGAGCTGGCTACCCTAATTCGATCTAAGCGGGACGCTGCTGACTGTTCTGTTATATGCCTGACCGAGACGTGGCTGGATGGCAGCACGCCGGATGAGGGTCTTCTCCTGCCCGGTTTCACACTTCTATGAGCTGATCGATCGCGGCAGGATTCACAGAAGAAGTCAGGTGGGGGTGTCTGTTTTTATATAAACCAAAGCTGGTCCACCAACACTGTCGTTCTCTCGCGACATTATTCACCTGAGCTGGAATGTTTCATTGTTAAATGCAGACCCTTTTATCTCCCGCGGGAGTTCTCCTCCGTCATTTTCGCCGCTGTTTACATCCCACCTAAAGCGGGAGCCAAAGAGGCTTGCAGGCAGCTGGCGGCTCTCATAACCGAGGTGGAGAATTCCAGCCCGGACTCCGTGGTTTTGATTTTAGGCGATTTTAATCACGTGGACTTAAAGAGATCACTACCCAAGTTCAAGCAGCAGATTCATACTGCTACCAGGGGTGAAAAGACATTAGATAAATGCTACTGTGTGATTGCGAATGCGTATCATTCTATTACTTGGCCCCCTTTGGGTCGGTCTGACCATAACACTATCTTCCTCATCCCTCGATATCGTCAGAGACTGAAATCTACTAAGCCAACAAAAAAAGTGATTAAACAATGGTCTATACAAGCACAAAACGAACTGAAAGAATGCTTTCATACTACTGACTGGTCTGTCTTTAGGGATGAATTCACTACCCTGGACGAATACTGTGATGCTGTTACTTCATATATTCACTTTGCTGAAAATCTATGTTTTCCCTCTAAAACTGTGACTGTTTATAGCAATAACAAGCCATGGTTTAGTAAGAATATTAGAATGTTGTATCTGGAGAGAAAAAGTGCTTTCCAGAGCGGAGATAGCTATCAGTATTCTCTGGCTAAATATGCATTTGAAAGGGCTGTTAGAAAGCTAAAGCTGACTATAGGGCCAAGCTTGAAGCTAAGCTTGGTGTCCATGACAACAGGGGTGTTTGGCAAAGCCTTCAACAGATTACTAATTATAAAAACAAATACACAGTTTATGATGATGACCCTTTACTACCTAATAAACTAAATGAATTTTACTGTAGATTTGAAAGTAACTCTGAATGTGCAGTCAGCTCTAATTTCCTCAATGATACAGGCCTTCTTGAACCACCTTTTCTGATAGAAGAAACAGAGGTCAGATCATTGTTAAGGAAACAAAATTGTAGGAAGGCATCAGGCCCTGACCAGGTCTCTGCTGCCACTATTAAATGGTGTGCCGATGAGTTGTCATATGTTTTCACTGACATTTTTAATTGGTCCCTTAGAGTATGTAAAGTTCCAGCATGCTTCAAATCAGCTGTAATCATTCCTGTGCCTAAGAAGTCGAATGTGAATTGTTTGAATGACTACAGACCAGTGGCCCTAACCTCTGTTATCATGAAAGTTTTTGAGCGACTAGTAGCTAATTACCTCTCAGTAACGTCACTTGACCCTCACCAATTTGCGTATAGGGAGAACAGGTCTGTTGAAGATGCAGTTTCTCTTTGTACCCATAATATTCTTCAACATTTGGAGGGGCCAGCTACATATGCACGGGTTTTGTTTATTGATTTTAGTTCTGCTTTTAATAATATTATTCCAATGAGATTGTGTGACAAACTTCTGGGATTGGGGGTCAAGGAGTCCATATGTAAGTGGATTCTTGACTTTTTAACTGATAGATCTCAAGTGGTTAGGGTCAATGGCCTTTTACATAACACAGTAATGGTCGTACTGAGGCTGTGAGAGCTGATTTCAGAGACCCGAAAGATGCCAAAGCCTTTATGGACAGTAATATGTGAACTCTTTTGGCTTTTCATTTTAATATGATCCATGTAATTGTTGTGTTTATCGAATGCATTGCTTTTAACTAAGCTCCTCCTTTCGAAGTTTAAAATGTTTGGCAGCGTTTAGTGTATTTTCAGGAAATGTCCTATCCCTTTCGTAACCGTGAGCTCTCCTAAGATGTAAATATTAAGGATAACGTCAATTTCAAAATAATTCGAGCCCAATTCAGACCCTGACACTTTTAACAAACAAGAGGATCGTGCAGAATGGATTTCAAGCAGACTTTGTAAGAACTTATTTTCCTTCTATATTATAGATACGATGAGATCCACCATTTAATTGTGATATTTGTCACTTAGTTTTCAAATCACAAAACCACTTGTTTCAGCGCATTGTTCCAGGAAGAGCGCATCCACAACAGGTTGAGAATGTATCTGAGGCGGTGTTGGTGACACGTCGTATTAGCGATGCACCATGTGAATGTGTAAATTGACATCCCCAAGTCACATTTCACAAATGGAGAACAAGTCATTCTGAGTAAACATGTATAGTTTCGACTTCCGGTAATGGCAGCGGACTGATCAGTCGCGGTTTCGCCTCTCCCGTTCCACGTTCCTGTTGATTATTATCTTACCTTCACCCAAGTCATTATTTAGTTGCCTTATTGCTTCTTTAACATGCCCAAGCCATCAAAGCAGAACAAGCCGGACCACTCCCGAGGCTGTACGGAAGTTTGTACTGATTCAACTGAGGCTAGTAGTAGCAGTAGCTATGCGGTTGAGATCGTTACCTGATTTATCACATGGGGATCGTTGCAGAAGAAGGTCGGTGCACGCAAAAAATGCTGAATGAGTCTTTTGTTAAGCTGGATTCTGGGCTGGATGTGAAAGTTGATTGCATCATCAAATTGATGAGGTTGCTGCAGCCACCGACTCCCTTGCGACGCGCCTAGCTTAAACAGAAACTCATATCTCCATTCTGAAAGATGACATTGCTCCGTTTAAAGGGAAACTGGCCGCACTTGAGAAACTGAACGCGAACGCGAAGAAGGTTACGGATCTAGAGGGGTGTTCCACAAAGGACAATATCAGAAGCTTTAACTCCGAATAGTCCATCGAGGGAAGTGACCCCATACTTTTCTTTGAAAAATTCATCCAAAAACTGCTTGAGCTGCCAGTCCCGTCGATATCAATTGACCGTGCACATCGAGGACTCGGGACTCCTTCGGATGGTCGGCCCCGCCCTGTTATTATCAAGATTCATTGCTCTAGAGATGTTGCTACAATTCTGACCGCTGCTAGACGCAAAGGCCAGCTTCAATACAAGGACCAACCTCTCTGTATCGCCTCTGACATTTCGCCCATGGTGCGTGCTACGAGGAGAGCGTTCAACCCGAAGAAAGGCATCTGCTTCCAAATGAACTTCCAAGCCGTGTTGCTCTTCAAAGCCAACGGCACTCAGAGAAATTTCAGAGACCCGAAAGATGCCAAAGCCTTTATGGACAGTAATATGTGAACTCTTTTGGCTTTTCGTTTTAATATGATCCATGTAATTGTTGTGTTTATCCAATGATGGGTGTTTAGCAAAAGGAATGGGAGAGTTTTCACATGTTTATTATCGTGAAGTTTTTGATTTAAGCTGGGATATTGAACTGGTGCATTTCTTCTCTCTGTACTTTTGAATGATTAATAGATCCTAGTTTATTTTTCATTTCTGTGTCACAGGAGTTATAGACATGGGTGCACCCAATCTTCTCCTTGTTCTGTTTTTGTTTTGCCCAAATGCTGGGTTTTTAAAGCCTGGTCCAGAGAAGTTTCTATTTGCTCCCCACTTTTTTTTCTTCCTGTAGGCCTGAGACGAGAGTTCAAGAGATTTCCACGCCTCATGCGCAAGAATTAGAAGTAGAACAAGAAATTAAAATAATTTATTTAATTTAATTTCTTATTATTCTTGTTCTGTTTGATAAATTAATTTTTTTCCACATTATTATTCATACATTTACAGTTGGATTATGGTTACCTGTTGGGTTGTAATTCCAACTGTCGTAGACTACTTTCAGCTTTATTCAATTGCTTTAAATATCAAGATTTTTGATTAGGTAATTATTTTATACAATCTATACTTCTATAGTTTTGAGTATATTTTGAAGCATATTTTTTTTCCATATTATTTTATTTTTATTTTTTTCATTTATTTTTTCCTGCATCTTTATTATCCTTCTGGTATAGTACCCTTGATAAAATATGTTTTTTTTTTATTTAGTTGTTTTATCTTAATTATTGATTTATTATTGCTAATGTGTATATATATATATATATATATATATATATATGTGTGTGTGTGTGTGTGTGTTTAAACAAAAATCTGATAACCAAAAAAAAATTTGTAGTTTCATACATCTATGATGCTTGGGAGTAGGGCTGGGCGATAATACGATAACGATATGTATCACGATAGACGAGTGATCGATATCAATAAAAAATCTGTTTGATAAAACATTAAAAAAAAAAATTTCTCCGTCAGAAGAAACATCAGGTTGATGAGTATAAAGTTATGGTTAGTTAAAATTAAGGAAAACAATTATATTGATCTGTAATATAGCAAATTAATTTTAAATCAATTCAGGTAAAATTACCAATCATATCTCAATGTCTTTTTATCTTTCTATTGATTTAATTAATGAATTAATTATATAAAACTATTATCAGTGCACTATAAATAAACTGGTTCTATGCCTTTATTAATAAAACTTATTTAAAAAATACAAGGCTTAAGACGTTTATAAAAATGCCTTCTATATTTCTGTTTTGCTTTTCTCTCCATTGTACCGAAATCATACCGAACCGTGATGTCTGAACCGAACCATGACTTCTGTGTTGGCCTACCGTTCCACCCCTAGTATTGTTATCATCACGCCACTGTCACCTTTTTTACTCTGAGGAGTTTGCAGGTCTTATTGTGAATTTAGACTTATGTTTAGATTTTAATTATTTGAGTTTTCCATGGTTGTGTTGACATTTCTGTCCTGGGATTATGATCATAGGAAGGTTAAGTTTAAAATAAAAATGTTTAAATGCAATATATTTTTCCCCTGGTACTAATTTTAAATGGGTCATAAAAAAAATCAGTAATTATCGATATCGACCGATATGAAACACTGATATCGTGATGCAGTTTTCAGCCATATCGCTCAGCCCTACTCAGGAGGCAGCAAATACTAAAATATGGAGACTGATTTCATGAAATTGCATTTCAGCGTGTTTATGAACGCCGTTGACTTAACGTTACGGACATTTAAAGGCATGTACATACACGTGGAATCACTCGGACATTTAACGGCGTAGACATACACGCTGATAGCTCAAAATGCGTATAGATAACACGCCACTTGACTTGAAAGTGGTGTGTATGTTTACACAAAAGTCATGATGTCATGTTGAAATATGAGCAAGGCTGACATTGACGCTTGCGCTTTTATAATGGGCAAGCCCACTGCCATTCTCTCTCCAAAATATACCCTTAACTGTTGTCAAGGCAACACGTGCGTTGTGTCAAAACCCACAGAACAGGGGGCGGAGTGAGATAAGCTCATTATCATTTAAAGGGTTAGTTCACACAAAAATGAATATTAAGTCATTAATTACTCACCCCCATGCTGTACCAACCCCGTAAGACCTTCGTTCATCTTCGGAACACAAATGAAGATATTTTTGATTAAATTTGAGAGCTGTCTCACTACCACATTGGCTCCTAAGGGACTGGCTCTTGACGGCCCAGAAAGTCAATGAAGAAAATGTTTAAATATCCCAAGTGACTACCGTGGCTCAACTATAAGTTTATCAAGCGACGAGAATACTTTTTGTGCGAAATAATTAAGTTGCTCTTCACAAAGCGCGCGTTAGTATTTTAAAATGAAGCAGCCTTCTCAGTGATTTTCATGGTTTTAATATACTATAAGCCAACTGCATTCCAAAAGACATAAATAATGCCTCTGTGAAGCATTTGTAAGGAAAATTCCCGCGGGAGAGAACACACACTGCAAGTGGAACGTTATAACATCAAGCAAAGCAGCAAGCCCGCGAATGTCCTTGTAATTCGGTTCAACCCCGAACTTTACTTTACTATGTTTTGAGAGAGAGAGAGAATAGAAGCAAGCAGAACACGGTTCGTTTCTGAAGCACGCGCAGCGTCATCACGCATCTGTGTTTAAAAACTAGGCTCAGACTCGATTCTAAAATTCTCTGAATCAATCCAGGATTGTTGGGGAGAGAATAAATAACACAATATCACATACATTAAAAATAAACTGTTCTTTTCTGAACGCCAGACTGCGTAGCGTGGCAAGTTGATGCTTGATCTTGCAGACTGCTCCCGCGTGTCACGTGACCACTAATCGCAGCTCTTGCGATTACAAAATCGCGTTTCATCGATATCGCAAATGCAATTAATCGTTCAGCCCTACCCAGAACATAAAATATTAGTTTTTTTATTTTTCATGTTCGCATTTATGAGGAAAAAACAATGTTACGGACGTGACAGTTCTCTGGAAGCGGCACTAAAAGATTCACAGAGACCTCAAACAGAAAGCTCAAAGCCTTTCTTTAAAGTGAATTTATTAATTGTTAAGGCTAGGTATTGACACAAATTTCACAATTCGATTTGATTTCGGAAGTTTTACCTTTCACTAAACATATTTAGATATATCGAAATCGTCTTCAATTGCGATTTCCTGTATATCTAAATATGTTTAGATCTTCACAGTGAAAGGTGAAACTTCCGAAATCTCTGTGTAAACAATGAGTGACGTACACACGCAAGCGATCACTTCCGGCGCATGAGCAGACCGAATCGCCCGTGCCGTCAGATCAGTTGGACATGGGTGTTACACGAGGTAAAAACTATATAAATACTGTTCGTTTTCTCACACAAACCGCTCGTTTCGTGTCTTAGGCCATCAATGTGTACTTACATTTACGAGTCATTAAATCGTGTTTAATTTGGACTTCTCTGTGCTGCTCTTTGAGGTGGACCCCCTAAACCTGCATTATATGACTGACAGACAACAACGGTTTGACCGAAAACTATCAAAATTGAAAATACTGTGGAAACGAAGACACCTACATCTTGGATGCCCTTGAGGTAAGCTAAAACATACCAAAAATTAATTTCAAAGTGAACTATCCCTCTAAGACATATTTGTTTGATGAGGCCTTTGCTGACCGCTAGACTTTGATTTTCAATAGTATTTTATTACTTCTTCATTTTTACATTGTATTCTTTCTTGCATTTTATTGTATTTTATCAAATTCATTAAAATTGTACAGCACTTTGGTACACAATGTGTTTTTTAAGGTGATTTATAAATAAACTTTGATTTGATTTGATATGTGCAATACATTTATGTTCTGTTTATCGCTGCTTTCTCTGCTCTTATCTACGCTAGACTGGCAGGGAGTTCTCGCCCAGAACAGAAGCATACCGTCGATCCAAACTGTATGCTATCTGTCAATCGCATTCAATGATAGTGGGCCTGACAGAACCAACCTGTTTGTTCCTCTGTATCCTCTTTTTTCACTCCAAAAGCTTCTTCAATCTTCATATCTTCACTCTCCTCTTTCTTAAATGCCATATTTGTTTGTGTCTCATTTTCTTCATGTTTCACTCTGAATGTTTCTTCAATCTTCATGTCTTCACTCTCCTCTTTAATAGCCGCCATCTTTATAATGGTGTGACGTGGATCTCAGTCGCTTCACCAGGAGTTTTTCTGTGTGTTTGTCCTGTTTAAGATGAGAATAATTAACAGAAAGAAAAATAAATCCACACTAAATCTCTCTGTCTCAATCAGCTCTAGTTCAGTCATTCAGTGCAGTGGTAAGAGAGTCAGTCAGGACATACATCTCCTGATTAGACTAAAACACCTAAAATAATTCAATATTGGACATTCATATTTAGGTATTTATGATTCATATTTGGTATTTAATGACTTGTCACAGTCAATCGATTAAACAAAAACATTTGTGATTTGTTTGTAACAAAAAAAAAGTTGTTAATACACGTTTGTGTTCTCATTGTATTTACACTGTTTTGACCAGCAAGTAATGTCAGCTGCAGCACGTAGTGATTCAAAGAAATATTAATTTGCATCCACTTCTTCTAATAGATCAAAACTTCTATTATTTCTCAATAAATGTGCATCAAATGTCACAGTTTACGGGAAGCTTTTCTTCCCGATATTGTCTGGAGAAAAGTTTTGGTTGATTCTGAATAGATACTTAATTATGAATACGATAATAGAAGTTTCCATTCCAATTGTCTATCATGTATATTCCGTTAATACTTTTTATTTTACCTTTAATTTTTGTGAACAGCACCCAGAGATTATGGTGCATTTATTTTGGCTTTGCCATTACTCTAAATTATAGTGGAAAGACATTTGTTTTTGAAAATATTGATAAAGATTTTTCTCTATTAAGGAAAATGTTTTGTTAGGAATTGTCAATTGGAAAAAGAGCAATTACACAAAAACAATATATGCTTACTTAATCTTTTTTTTATATATATACTAAATTAAGTACAACATTACTTTGGATCTGTCTCTGACTCATGTAACCAGAAAGCTTTAAAAACAACGTTACCCCTGTTTTGTGACTTTTTTTCCCTTTCGTTTATTTGTTCTACATTGTGACTGTTTCCTACTTTGATTAAAAAATGAAAAAATAAATAAAGCTCCTCTTGGCCTCATTTGTTTTTATGAGAAACTGATACAGCGAGGAGACGCACTTCTGTACTAATGTGTTGAAGAACTTTTCTGAAATTAAAAACTAACAGTAGTTACTGTTAGATACATAATTACAACGGTGTATCAATAATAACAATTCATTTAATATCGCTTCTAAAAATATAAAATAAACTGAACAGTTTGCAATGATTTAAATGCTTAAAAACACAAACCTTTCTCCAGCAGAATCACAACAGAACAAGGAGCGCGACCCTATGACGTAGCATCGCCACGCCAAAATAAAAGTCCTGTTCTTCTTCTAGTGGAGTTTTATGGCGGTTAGCAAAACAACTTTTGTTGCATTACCGCCACCAACTGGACTGGAGTGTAAACATGTAGAAATGAACAACTAATAAAGGTATGAAAGAAAGAAATTATAATAATTTAACCCAATTACTTTAAATTCTCCAGTCTATTCCTATTGCTTTGTCATATTTCATAATAGAACTATATATTTTATCTTGTTCTGCATGTACTTTCAAAATGCTTTCCATATTAAGTGATTCAACACCCAAGTTTCTTACTTCCTTCGTTAGTTCTAACCTTTCTTTTACATACATTTTATTAAAACATGTTCAGGTTTCTGCCTGATCACAAAAATTACATTTACCCGTTTTGTTTTCCTATTTTGAACAAAGAAGGATTTAGTCTAGTGTGCCTTATTCAAATGCGAAAAATAAATGTATCTTCTTTTCTATTCCTAAAAACTCTTATTCCATTTCCTACTTGTTTATGTATAATATTCATGTCTTACCTTTGTTAGCACTGTTCCATACTTCTTTCAATTTGTTGTTTATCAATTCTTTAATTAAACTCTTTTGCTCAGTCACTTGAATAATTATCTGTGTGATTTACAGCTTGCTTAGATAGTTTAACAACCACTTCATTAGCCTCCCCTCCCACAAGAACAATGTCAAGCTTACTTTACTTATTCTTAACAAACTTGTGAAAATCTCATATATAATATCTTGCCTTGCTGATTTATTTCAACTTTCGAGACTTTTGATTGCTGAATCAGAACATATTACAGTCTACCAATCTTGGTTTTACATCCTCTACCCACTACCCACTGTTTTAAAGCTGTTTTGAAACCATTTGTTTTGAATTCTTTCTGCGTTCTCAAATCACAAAAAAATCTTACTCTGAATTACACCTTCACAATGACTGCAAGACCCACATCTATAGGTTCCCAACAAACCTTTTTGTAACCATGTTTTTTGTTTAGGACCTGGAAGGTAGCTTCTTACAAGTTTGTCCCTTATGGATAAGAAGAGGAATGTTGTTGTTACTTGTATTTTTACAGAATACATGGGTGAAAGATTTAAACATTCAATGAACAGCTAGAAAAGGTGTTATGTCAGTTGAATGAAAAGAAAAGTTATATTTTGTGTGGGGATACAAACATCAATTTGTTGAGTGTGAATAGACAAGCTGCAGCTAGCGATTATTTGGAGATGCTACACAGTTGAGGGTTGTTTCCATTGATCACCGAGTCAACTCGGATAACATCAACATGTTTGACATTGATCGACCATATCTTCACAAATGTTTTAGAAAGTAAAATTAAGAGTGGTTTGATGATTAACGATATAAGCGACCATTTACCTGTTTTTTGTGTCTTGGATTGTCAAATACTTAATGAGAAGGAAGCTGGCAGTAGGACTAAATATGTTAGAAAAAGGACCGATGAAGCAATTTGTAGATTTAGAAATGATTTGAGTGAGCAAGGCTACGTCCACATTAATCCGGATACATTTGAAAACGGGGCTCTCCGTCCACACTAGCGTTTTCAGGCGCTTTCCGACGTTTCAGTGTGGATGAGAAACTTCTAAATTCACTTTACTGCGCATGCGTGAAACTTCACAAAAGCTCACTGAGATGATACAGATGGGAAAATAAATAATAATATGTCGCACAATAACAGGATAATTTTATTTAGCAAAATATCTCACCATCACTGATGCGTCCAGGTCGCATTCAGTCACCATATGTTTGGTCTAAAACGCAACTGCTCTTCTGTTTTGCCGCAGGACAGCAAATGTAAGTATATTATTTGCAGTACTGTGCTATGAAGAATAGCACATTAAGTAACATGAAAGTAACATATTTTAGCAATTGCTAAAATATGTTACTTTCATGTTACTTAATATGTGCTATTCTTCATTACACTATTCTCACAAATAATAGTGTAAAAATGAATAACACATAACAGGCACAATACCGATAAACATGAATATCTATTGGTACTACATGGATCACATGACTTAACTTGCGTCATCGTTTTGAAATACCTCCGGTTTCACTGTCAACACTACAACGCGAAAAACGGCGTTTTCAAATTCATCCACTTTGGACTTTTGTTGACTTAAAACGGCGTCTCAGTGTGGACGGGAAAAATATACGTTTTCAAATGAAAACGTATTAGTGTGGACATGGCCCAAGACTGGAAAGAGGTGTATGTTGGGGAAGTAAATGCAGCATATGAAGCTTTTCTAGATAAATATCTTACATTATATGAAAAGTATTGTCCATTATTTATTATTTTTTTATTATAATAAGAAAATTGAAAACTTAAACGAAGTAGTAAACGAATTTAATTCTTATTTTGTAAATGTGGGACCTAAGCTAGCAGAGAATATTGAAAAACATAACTTAGGGTCAGAATGGAGGGATAAATGGGAGTAGAGTACTCCAATCAATGTTTCTTGGATATGTTAGTGAAAATAAAATTATATCTATAGTAAATGCATTAAAATATAAGACATCTACAGATATGGATGGGTTACTGTAGATATGATTATTGTGAAAAGAAAACCCCCATAGATTGTATTTGTCACAGTCCTTCGTCTGCACCATCCTGTCTGCGTCTCCAGCACTACACTTCCCATGATCCTCTTGTCTGCACACCTGAACTCACTCCCTCATCAGCCTCCCGTTCAGCGTCCTGTTCATCTGTTTCACCTGTCTTCACCTCATTATGTCTGATTCCTCTGTGTATTTAGTTCCCTCAGTTTCATTCTGTCTTTGTCGGTTGTTGTCTATAGATGCTTGTTGTAAGCCCGTGTGGCGTCCGTGTTCCTGTCTTCCTGCCAGTTTTTGTATATAATAAACCCTGATCTCTACCGATACTCCGGTCTCCTCGTCCTTCAGCCAGAGCCACACCGTGACAGTATTGTTAAACCTTTAAGTTACATATTTAATCTTTCATTTCAGACAGGGATCTTTCCTAAAAGGATGAAGGTAGCAAAGGTGGTCCCACTATACAAAGATGGTGATAAGCATATGTTTACAAATTATAGACCAATCTCGTTATTATCTTAATTTTCTAATGTCCTTGAAAAAAATATTTGTGCAAAAACTAGATGAATTTATTGAAAAAAAAAAAACTTTGTTAAATGAGATACTGTTCGTTTTCTCACACAAGTCGGTCGTTTCGTGTCTTAGGCCATCAATGTGTACTTACATTTATAAGTCATTAAATCATGTTTAATTTTGACTTCTCTGTGCATGCTTTTTGACGTGGACCCCCTTAGCCTCCAGTGTATGACTGATAGGTTAAGGAGGCCAGAAGCAATTTTACACCATTTACACCCTTTGAGGGACGAATTGCGGAATCTACACAAAACAATAACCGCTGCACAGAGCGTAACCCTAACTATAAGCCTACCCTGGATAAAAGTGAAGAAGATGGATGAGGATGGTAATTGCCATCCAGTGACTGGTTCTTCCAAGCACTATGCTCTATCTGACAAGTCCCACGAGGCCAACAGTAAGGATAAGCGAGACACACTTAAGCCTGTTTAATGCTTCTGCGTTGAATCGACAGCGTACCCCCACAGACGCCTCTGCGACGATGCAAACACCCCTCCGACCCCTCTGCCGTAGCTCGACGTGCACCTCCAAAAAATTTAACTACGCGTCGAGGTGACGAAGACAGCAAGGGCTGTGATTGGTCAGATTATTTCTGGAGTGTAGCTTTTCCGGTTTCCCCCTCCCGCTATAGCGCCATTTTAAAGTGACCTGTTTGTTTCAACGATGGATCAAGTTGAGGAATGTTTTATCGAGGAAGTACGAAAGTATGACCATCTGTACAATTCCTCTTCAGCGCACTACAAAGTGCGGAACCGGTGCACGGAACCAAAACAAACTAGCAAAGAGATTTGCGAACCACACACTAGCGTTCTGGCGGTGAAATGCGCCGCAAAGCAACGCAACCTGACGCAGAAGCATAAAATGGCCACGATGCAGTAGCTACGCCATGGAGTTGATGCAGAAGCATAATGAGGCATTTAGAAAGATTCATATTGTCCCAGAGTGAGCACACAAGCTGCAAAACAACTTTTCGCTGGAATGCGTAAGAACAACTATTTTTTTAATAAGATTGAACATTTTCATTTATGCATTCAAACAGTCATATTCTAAGCAACTTACAACTGATTCATCATAGAGCCAACAATATTCACTGTGTGCAATGCCAGGTCTTTTAGAATAAGACTACTAAGAATCTGTTTTGTAAGTAATAGAATATTTCCGTTCTCTTGACAGATGGCTCAAGTTCGTTCTGCAAATGCTGATGATGAAGCAGCACTTGTGGGCTCTATTGTCATAAAACAGAAAAAACTTATTAACACTGACAAACCTTTGCGAGGTGGAAGGAAATGTAAGAAACATATAAAAAAAATGAATCAAAACTTAAAATAATAAAAATATAATGTCCATTTCAAAATAGCTAATTGTTGCTTTTGTGTGCTTCCTGGTTTAACCTCAAAGTTTGGGAGCATAAATTAATTAATTTTGTTTAATTCATAACAATTTTCTTTTTGAGGCCAGAATGTGGACATCTATCCAGTTGACAGCCGTGTCTTAGTGACATGGTTGCCACCAATTTATGCACATCCCATGGACCACTTACCTGTAAGGATCACTGACATTTTTAATGTCTTTAAACATTAAACATACTATATACTATAAAATATATATTTTAATAGTTTATGTAATAAACTAATTTTAATATACTATAATATTTAATATAATGTAGATTGAAATTATGAGCAATGATGCTGTGGTCTTCCCATTTGGGTGCCAGGGCATTGGATGCTGTGTGTGAGTCTGCTTTAATGTAATGATACATAAACATTCAATTGACATACAATTAACATTATAAACATACAATTAAACATACACAACACCAATTGTTGTGCATACTGAAATCAACGACATATTTCTGAT